GTGCCTTAGGCAAACCACAGCCTTAACCATTTAAACAGGCTATTTGAGGTATCCATTGTCATTCACCTAACCCCCACAGCTTTCTCACCATTGTCTAGCGGTTAGAGTTAGGAGCTGTCCAGAGAATCATCCGGACGTCCTCTCCCCGCTTCCTACACACTCACTGAGATCTCCCAGGCCTGGGAGTTGACCGACCTCCCCCCTGCCCGGGCTCCCACAGCTCCTCAGCAGGTTCTCGAATTCTTCGGTGCCCTCAGAGTCAGAGCAGAGTGTCACCGGGAACGGTGGACTTCAGCAGTGGAAAGGAAGGTGGGACCTTCACGTTGCACCAGCCCCATCCTTCCCTTCATTAAAAGGACAAGTGATTTAGCAGGCTGGCTGCAAGCAGAGGCTGCCCGCCTCCCCCACCCTCTCTCCTGGACCCGTTCCACTAAATCCTATCTCCGGGCTTTGTGCTCAACTTCCAGGGGGATCCCAGAGGGGCGGGGTGGGGTGGTAGACCGTCTCCTAAGGCTCTCTACCAAAGGAAACTGCATCCTCGTCTGTAGGTCACTGGTCGCCAGGCAGACCCCCACCCTACCCAACACCAAAGTGCACGGATAGAAGTTGAGAGGAAAACCTCTTCAGCTCTGATTTGCAGTGAGCTCGACGTCCTGGAAGCTGACAAACCCTGCAAGGTCTGTCGGGGGTCAAATCTGCTTCTGGACCTCGGGATTCCATCAGTTCCAGTTTCTTACAGTTAATCGTGACGAGACGCGCCGTGGACCCTGCAAGCTAGCCCTCTGGCGTCGGCAACAACCCTGTGTCGGTGTACCCAGCACAGCGCCTTGGGACCCGGGCCCCGAGCCGACAATATTTTTGTACTTCGGAGGAATCTTGGATGCCCCACCGCTCAGACCCGAGCGGCCGCGCCTCGCCCCCCAGCGGTGAGAGCGCCAGCTGCGGTCCTGCGAGAAAGGTTCACAGCCTCTGAATGTGGGTCTTCGCTTCCCCGCACACCCCAGATTCCTAAGTACTTATTGCCTCCTTTTATCCTCCCACCCGCCCCCTCATCCCTCCAGTTGATAAACACTGCCTATCTCCGGTGTTTCATTCCAGGTCCTCGGTGTTTGGTCGTCCCCCTCTCCCGCCACCCCCTCCCCCAATAGAGCAGGATGCTAAGTTAAACAGGGAAATTTGAAGTAACTGATAACATGAGTGGCTCTTGGCTTTGCCCTCTGAGAAGTTTTCTTCTTATCCGCTGGGTATCTGGCAGAACCTTCTCTCCTTGGGGCACAGACTGGGCATCAGCGTTGCATCCTGGTGCAAGTTGAGGATTATAGCTACCTTAGGGGTCAAATTCTTGAAAAACTGGGAATCCAGACTTATTTTCTTAAGGAATATTATTCCCTCAAAACGTAATAGGTGTTAAGGATCGAAACTGCGCGTTTCAAAAAGATATTTTGAAGTCTTTAACTTCTGTACCTGTTAATGTAACCTCTGGAAAAAATGGTTGTTGCAAATGCACAAATGTAATTAGACATACCGAGGTGGGGGGGGGGCTTAATCCAGTATGATTTGTCCTTACAAGAATGAGATGCTGACACAGAAAGGGGACATAGGGAGAATGCCCCCCAACAGAGAATGTTGTGACTCTTCTCCAAGCCAACAATTGCAAAAAGAGAAGTCAAAAGAAAGACATGGAATAAATTCTCCTTGGAAGACTTTAGGAAGAACATAGCCATGGTGACACCTTGGTTTTGAACTTGTAGCAGCCAGAAGGGTGAGAAAATACATTTCTATTGCATTGAGTCATATTATATGCTTTGTTGCAGTAGCCCTAGGAAGCTAATACAGTTAGCTTCTGATTTTTTTTTTTTTGGTGGTGATCATTTTTTATTGATTTATCATATGTTCACAAAACATATGGGACACAGCTCCACACCTCAGTATGTGCATATGTCCACTAGTCCATCACTGAAGTTCCAGCGCATCACACTATCACATTGACCTCTGTCCTTTGCTTCCACACCTGTCTCCCTTTTCCCCTCTGGTATTCATCATGATTTTCACAAAATGCATGAATTATTATTATTGTATCTTGCCAGTTTTCCCCCTTTGGTTGTTTATATTCCACAGATGTTTGAAACCATCCAGTAATTGTTTTTCATTTTCTGATTTATTTTGCTTAGTGTAATCATTTCACATTCCATCCATATTGTCCCCAAAGGCAAGATTTCACTTTTTAGATAGCTGAGTAGTAATCCACTGAGTATATTTTACCACCACTTCTATACGCAAGTCACTCATCTATCATCGGAGGATGCTGTCCAGGAGTTTAGCATCTGTTTTCTTCTCTGTATTTTATGGCTTTGGTCTTAATACGAATCCTTAGACCATTTTAAGTTAATTTTCCTGATTGGTGTATCTAGGTTCACTTTAATGATCTAGTTTCACTTTTTTCATGTGACTGTACAAATTTCCCAATGCCATGTGTTGAAGAGGCTTTCTTTTCTCTATTGTATGGTACTGACTCTTTTGTCTTACATTAGCTGTTCACGTGTGTGTGGGTTCATTTCTGGCTGTCAGTTTTGTACCTTAAGTTTATGTGTCTCTTTTGCTCCAATACCATACTGCTGTCACTTCGTAGTATAGTGTGAAGTTGGGCATAGAATACTCCCATTTTCTTCTTTTCTTCCTGGATTGCTTTGGTTACTTTGGGTCTTTTGTGGTTCTACAAAGTTTAGAATGGTTTGTTTTGTCTCCTTGAAAAATTCTACTGGGATTTTAATAGGTATTGGATTGAATCTATATTACTTTAGGTAATCTGGTCATTTTAAAAATGTTTATTCTTCCAATCCATGAACAGTGAATATTCAACTTCTTTGTGCTTTCTCTGGGCAAATAATTACAGCCAAACATTTGTCTAGTGCTACGTTGTGCAGCAGAACAGCCACCAGTCACAAATGGCCATTAAAAATAAAATATCAGTTTCTCAGCTTCACTACATTTTAAGTTCTTGATGGTTAATTGTGGTTAGTGGCTATTGCCTAGTCATCACAGACTGTAAATATTTCCATCACGCAGAAAGTAGACTGGATTTAGTATATTAGTCAGCTTTTTTTCTGTAATAATGCTGCATAATACCCCAGATTTCAGTGGATTATAAGAATAAGTATTTTTCTTGTTCATGGGTCCACAGGACAGTCCAACTTTAAATTACTGTCTGGACTGGGCTCCAGGCTGCAGTTTGGATTCAGATGTGCTCCATCATCTTTAGACTTGGGGCATGTTTTTATGACAGCAGGAGTATGAGAAAGCAGTTTAAAATACACAGACACATTTAAAGCTTTTGCTTTAGTTAACACACTTAGTTAATAGTCCATTGACTAAAGCAAGTCACATAGCCAAGTCCAATATCAAAATCTATAGTGAGAGGCTCTATAAAATTAGACAGTGGATGTATATTATTATTAGTAGTATAGAAGAGTGAAGAATTCACAACAATAATCCAATCTACCTCACCTGTGCTAGTCCTTTTTTTTTTCCTCTGAAAAAAGTAACATAGTCACATGGCTGTTAAACTAAAAGCACATAAAAATGTATGGAGTGATAAGTCTCTACACCTGACCCACCCACATGGTCCCCTCCCTTTACAGATAAACCCTTTCTTGTTTATCTGCGTGAAAATACAAGAAAAACCATAGATTGTTCCTTTCCTTCCCTGCTTTCTTAAAGGGAATTCATTATACACAGTACTGCTTTCACTTATTTCTTTTAAATGTATAGCTGGGAGATTTTCCCATGTTAATATACTGGACGTAGTCCTTAACTTACAATCACTTGTATTTACTGGCTTCTGTGTTCTGTTTGTCCCTGTTTTCTCAGTTTAATGATGGGTATCTTCAGATGTCTGGGATTCCCATGTCAGGTGATGGGCTTGTGTTGAAAGACACCATCCTTAATCTGATTTAGTCACTAGGCTGGCTCCCAATCTGACATGTAAGCATCCATAGCGGTTCTTGAGAAAGATTTGGGGTTTAACCTCTTGCTAAGGATGTTTATTCAGAGCCACTTTTTATAATTAACTTGATTTTATTTCTCAAAAATTAACTGCTCAAGAGTTGGAAAGTAGAGTGAAAACAGCTGCTATAATTCCTGTTATCCCCTTTTAAAATGGAAAAGGCAAAGTGGTACAGGGAGTGTTGGCCAATCCGGTTAGAGCTAATCCTAGGAGGGAGAGGTGTCACAATACCTCCACTTCCATCCCATAGGGCCAGAAATTAGTCACGTGATCACACCAAACAAAATGACCGCGATGAGGCGTTAATGCCTCTACAAGGAAGTAAAAAATATATATTTGAGAAACAATTGGCTTCTTTTTCTGAGTGAGGTCACAGTGCGAAGTCATAGTTAACAAATTTATTTTAAAACATATTGTTTGATGAAATATCACATACATGCAGAAAAGTGCACAGATCCTAAGAGGACAGCTTGATGAATTTTCACAAAATGAACAGACCAGCTTAACGAGCTCCCGAGTCAAGTAATTGACCATAATCGGTATCCCAGACTTGGGATATCCTAGACAGCCACTCTAGGGGCGACGTAATTGCGGGGAGGAGGAGCCAAGGGCGTTTGAAGGAGAGTAACTCAGAAATAGGCGTGGCTAGGCGAAAAGGCGGGCTCCACGGAGCAGGTACCCACAGCGGAGACCAGGAAGGGGCGGGCCCTGGTGGCTTGACGCATTGGGGGCGGGGCTTGCTGGTGCGGAGCCCCGGCCAGCGTGAAGGGACATGGCCAGGCCAGCTCCGGGGGGCGAGATCTAGCAACCGCACAGGACTTCGCTGAGCGGCCCGGGCCTGGCGATCTCCAAGGGGTCAAGAGGGGCGAGTTCCAGAAGTAGAGGCCGACCGGGCTAAGCGAGGGGAGATTGTAGCTTCCCGTTACGCGCGGGGGCGGGGCGTCGCGCCGTCGGGGCGGACGCTGCGGCGGGGGGCGGGGCCAGCGCGCGTTCCAACATGGCGGCGGCCAGTGCAGCCGGCCTGGCGGCGAATGTGTTCCAGTTCCGCGACGTTCGTGCCGCGCCGGATCCGGTGCTAGAGGCCGGCCCGGTCGCACATGGGCCACTGCCAGTACCGCTGGTGCTGGACAATGGATCGTTCCAGGCTCGTGCCGGCTGGGCATGCCCAGGTCCGGACCCCGGCCCCGAGCCGCGCTTGCAGTTCCGCGCAGTGTGCGCCCGCGGGCGTGGCGGGGCTCGGGGCGGGGCAGGCCCGCAGGTGGGCAACGCCTTGGGTAGCTTGGAGCCTCTGCGCTGGATGCTGCGTTCGCCCTTCGACCGCAACGTACCGGTCAACCTGGAGCTGCAGGAGCTGTTGCTTGACTACAGCTTCCAGCACCTGGGGGTCTCCTCACAGGTGAAGGGCGGGGATGGCTGGACTTGAGGGGAGGCGGGCGGTTCTGTGTTCTCCTGTCTGCCCTCCCAGAGGTAGTCACTCCAGTGTCTGCTTGTCATGTAGTCCTTCGATCGGGTAAAAAGAACCTAAGGTGTGTAAGTCCTGTGCTAGGAGTTTGGACCATAGCAGTTAGGAACAACAATGGCTTTATTTTATTGAGCATGTATTCACTCATTAACAGTTGCATATGGAGACCCTGCTCTGCGATAGGCACTTTTACAGGCTTTTGGAATACACACATGATGGCTCCACAGAACTTTTGTGTGTATAGATCCAATATGGAAAGACATTTTATTTTCAGGACACAATGAACAGTAGAATTAGTAGTACTTGGTAGATTCTATGGCAAGCTAGAAGGAAAGGAGAGGGATGTGGTTTTTTTTTTTTTTTTTCAATAAGATCACAGGTTAAGACTCACGGAGATGGTGATGATTGAGCAGGGAATTGGAGATGATTGAGGTAACTAACTACCTGAACATCTGGAAACATAATACCCAGACCAAGGGAACAGACAGTGAAAAGGCCCCGAGGCAGGAGTGTGCCCAGGTTCTAATTGCAGGGTGGCCAGAATGAGGAGGAGAGTAGTAAGTGGAAGAAGAAGCCAGAGAGATAGTGAGGGGCAACTCACACACTGTAGGTTTATATAGGTGCTGTCTTGGAGTGTTGAGTGGTGGAGGGCTATGGCTTATATTCCAGAAGTAACACTATAGCTGCTATGCCGAATCTAGGGTAGAAACAGGGAGCCTGGGGAGGCTGTTGGACTAACCGAGGTCAGGGATGATGGTGAATTATATGAGGGAGGTATTCGGGATGTGGTATGAAGCAGTTGGATTCCGGATAGTTTTGAATGGAGCCCATCTGAATTACTAATAGTTGGGATGGGCTTGATTTAACCTTAAATTGACCCTAATTTCTGTACTTTTTTGTTTACCTGAAATAGTTTCCATTAGAGATGAGTTTGCTTCTGATCAGGTTTTTGAATGAAGAGCAAAAACAAATGCAGTCCTTGCAACAAGGATTTTGCTTCTTACATGTTTAAAAAGTGTATTTTTTTAATCACCCATTTTCTCTTTCAAAGTAGGGCTGTGTTGATCATCCCATAGTTTTGACAGAAGCTGTGTGCAACCCTCTGTATTCACGACAAATGATGTCTGAGCTTCTTTTTGAGTGCTACGGGATCCCCAAGGTTGCCTATGGAATCGACAGCCTTTTCAGCTTCTACCACAATAAGCCAAAGAACTTGATTTCCACTGGGCTCATCGTCTCATCTGGATACCAGTGTACACATATTTTACCCATCTTAGAAGGGAGGTAAGTTGTGCTTCTGGCATTTGAGTATTTCTTTGAGAAGCATTCAGGAAACACTAAGTGCCTGCTTAAAAGGTAGGGTGAGAAGAGCAAGTCCTGAGCTGTATGCACTTGTGGGCTTAGCTCTGACCCACCTGACTGTGGGTCAGTCATTGTACTTGCTCCTTTTGTGACCTCCTAGGAGGAGGAGTTGGGGTAGATCGTCTTTGATAATTCTAAAATAATAGAATTGTATGATTCTGATTTATGGTGAGATAGCTAACACAGACAGCACTTGCAGGAGTAGCACTCAATAAAAGTATATATTTTTGAATAAAGTTACTTTAGATCTTTGTGTTTTGGATTAACTTTTTAAAATTAAGAGCTTATTTGATTTTATTATTTTTTAAGCTCCCTAATCACTCTGGTTTAGACCTTTGCAGGTACAGTGTCTGGCACATAATAGGTACTTATTAAATATTTCTGAGCTGAATAAAATATTTCTTTTTAAAAAAATATTTATGCATACGGAACTGGGTACAGGCCAGAAGTACAGGGGTTGGAAGAGGTTTCATCAGAGACAGAGCCAGGAGCATAACAGGCAGACTGACAAAATACACTGCTGAAGGGAGCAGCAGGGTTGTGGGGGAGAGGTCAGAAGAGGTCTTTTGTGCCATGTGGGTCACCTCCAGGGCCGGGATGGAACCTGCACTGAAGTGACTGTGGCTAGCTTGCAGTGCTGCATCCTAACCCACTGCGCCACTAGGGGGGGCCCTGAATAAAATATTTCTATCATGCTTGACAGGAGACTAGGCTAGTATTGTGATCTCTTGAAATGGTTTCTCATTAAATAGGAGGTTGTATACTAGGAAGGGAGTTGGCCTTGGAGTTGAATACCTGGAGTTGCAGCCCTCCCAAGGATGAGCCCCCTAACTTCTTCACTTAGTTCCCTAACATGTAAAATTGGGAAAAATAGACTTCTCAGGGTCATGCCAAGGATGAAATGAGATGTTATAAGTGATGGCTCTTTATAATCTGTAAAACAATTTGAATATTTAAGTCAGAATAAATGCCGTTGAATTTTATCGAGACTTGTAGTGGGCTTTTTTCTTTGAAGTTTTTACAGTATTTTATGAAAGGAGTAGTTCTTAGACATTACCAAACATTACTGGGGAATGGAGTTTGCTATTTATGTAAACAAAATATGCAGAAGCTAAAAATAGCCTCACGTTATTTTTATGCTATTTTGAGAGAATTTTTTTTTTTACCTGAAAGCTAAGAAATGATTAGGTTGGAACATAGTCTGTTCTCTGCTGGCATCTGCTGGTGAGTTGTGATACAGCAGTGACATTTTAACAGCAAGTTCAGTGCTTTACTGCTCACTTTCTCACACTAGGAAATAATTATTTGAATTCTTGTCGCCTTCAGTTCATGTGCGTGGGATCTGATCCTCTTAGCTGCAATAAGCCCACATGTGTGCAGTTACTTCATGTGTTCACTTCTCTTGGAGTGTTTGGGGGGAAGGTTCTTAAACTGGGTTACCCTAGAGTTTCTTGGGAAGCTCCTTAAAAGGAATATTCTCAGGCCCACCCCAGAACAAATGAGCCCTGGGAATTGGCATGTTTAACACTTTCCCCCACCAGTTGGAGGATACTTGGTCCCAGGGCCACAGTGAGGAACCCATGACAAGGCCATAGGGTCTGACTTTAGAGTCTGTGTTTTCCCATTGAACCTCGCTTCCTTCTGAGACACTTGGCAGAAGTTAGAGGGCCTTTTCTGGGCGGACTCGGAGTCCAGCATAGGGTGAGCCGCTGGAGCAAAGGCACTGTACAGTCCCTTCCAGTTGTAAGGCTTAAATGTTCCCCATTTTTCTACATCAAGTTCCCCTTTTCCCCCCTCAAGGTTCTCTTATTTGTGGTGCCTATAATTTCAGGGTTCCTTTCTGTTCCTTGGTGATAGGTTAGATGCTAAAAACTGCAAGCGCATCAACCTTGGAGGCAGCCAAGCAGCTGGCTACCTCCAGCGTCTCCTCCAGCTGAAGTACCCTGGGCACCTGGCGGCCATCACGCCGAGCCGCATGGAGGAGATCCTGCACGAGCACAGCTACGTCGCTGAGGATTATATAGCAGGTAATGAGACCTTCGCGGTGGCTTTTGAGTGGGCATTTTGTTTTTACCTTGTAGATATAATTGCTTTATTGGATTAATGCCCAAGTGCTTATTTTTCAATTTCAGTGTGTGGTTGCTCATTGCTAGTGTATTGAAATGCAATTCATTTTTGTGTGTTAATCCCGTATTCTGTGATCTTTCTAAGTTTATTCTAGCTTTTCTGTAGATTCCTTGGGGAATTTTCTGTGTTGACATGTCATCCATAAATAAGGAACAGTTTTAGTTCTTCTTTTCCAGTCTGTTGGAGTCTTATTTTTCTTGCCTTTCTGCACTGACTCAGACTCCCAGTACAGAGTTGAATAGGAGAGCTGGCACCCTTGATTGTTCCCAGTTCCTGACTTGGGGTAGGGGGAGCAGCTCTGTGGGGAGATGAGGTACCTTGGAGTGTTTGCAGATGCCATTTATCAAGTTGAGCGTGTTTCCTTCCGATTCTGGCTCTACTGAACATTTTAATCATGAATTGATTTGAATTTTGTGAAATGTTTTTTCCCACATCAATTGATACAATCCGTGGTCTGTTTACTTTTGGATAGTTCTTGTGGAGTTTGTGACTGCTTTTGAATACTGAATGCTAGTTTTGATTTTTTTTTTAAGCTCCACTTTATCATTTATATTATTCTTTTTTTATATTGCTGGATAATATTTTGTGGGATTTTATATCTCTGTTCACGAGGGATATTGAGCTATAGTTTCCTTGCATCGTATCTGTCTGGTTTTGGTGTCAGAGTGATGCTGGTCTTGTTAGAGGGTTTATATTCCAGAAAAGATCTAGTAAATGACTGACATTTTTTTTTAAATTTTCCTTTTTTTTGTTTAAAGATTTATTTATTTATGCATACAGAACTGGGGTACAGGCCAGAGATGGGGAGGGTGAGAGGATTCACCAGGGACAAAGTGAGGAGCAGACAGGCCGACTGACGAAGTACACTGCTGAGGGGAGCAGCGGGTGGGTCAGGAGAGGTCTGCCGTGCCTTGTGGGTCACCTCGGGGCAGGCGGGATCGAACTCATGAGGAAGTGGCTTAAGCTTCTTGGTGCTGTGCTTTAACCTGCTGCGCCACCAGGGAGGGCCCTGACTGATATATTTTTTAAAATATTTGGTAGAATTCTCTAGTGAAACTTTGAGCCTAGAGAATTCTTCTTCTGAAGCCTTTAAACTATGAATTCAATTATTTTCATAGACATAAGACTTCAGGTAATCTCTGATTTTTTTCTTTTTATTTCCTTGCTTTAGGTTTACCTTGTTCTCTTTTTCTAATCTATTTAGATAAACGTTTAATCTGAATTCCACAGTTTTTGATGTTACATTTTCATTTTTCTTGAATTCAGATATTTTTCTAATTTTCCTGAAGACTTCTTTTTTGAGCCATTCGATTATTTAGAAATGTGTTGTTCTATATCCAAGTCTTTGGGGATCTTCCTGTTATTCCTTATTTCTTGTTTAATTCCATCATGGCCCTGGGACTTCTTTGTCTGATGTCATTTAAGCTTGTGCAGGTTTATTTTATGACCCAGGCAAGGGCTGCCTTAGCACATGCTCCATGCACATGTGAACGCAGTGTGGACTCTGGTGTGGCTGGGCGGCACAGTCTCTGCTGTCGCCTGGCCTGGTTGACGGCTGCTCCTTTCGACCCCTGTTTATTTCATAGCTCTACTGGTTGTGAGTGTTCAGTCTCGAGGGATAATTGCGAATTTTCCTGTTTCTTCTGTCAGTTTTGCTCTGAGGTGTCTGGTCTCTTTAGTGGGTGTGCAGTGAGCATCCCGTGCCTTCTTGGCAGAGCGACCTTTCTCATTACCGGTGTCCCTTTGTGGCCTTGGTGATTTCTGCTTTGAAGTCCAGTTGGACTTAATATTGCCCTTCCAGCTCTCTTTTCCGTGGTGCCTGCATCATCACCTTCATTAATCTTAGGGTTTTGTTTTTTACAGCATCTCTCAATCTTTATCCTTTAATGGGCATGTTAGGACGTTCACATTCATGCATCATTCCTGGGCTTGGGTTCAGGGCTCGTCTAATTGTCTGTTCTGCGCCTTCTTTGCTGTTCCTGTTTCCCTCTCTGCCCTCTTTTTGGGTTATTTGGAAATTTAAATTATTTGCTGTTCTATTTTCATTTATGCACTGTGTTTTTTGCTCTAGCTGATGTTTTTAAGAGGCTGTCCTAGAGATTACATAAACATGCTTCGTATGTCTGCTTAGCATCACCGTTTCCTCATGTCCTGTGGATTATGGGCATTCCAGAGCAGCACCCAGAGGCCACTTTGCCCTGCTCCCTGCAGTTGTCCTGGTCTAACATGATGTTTGACACGTGGAGGCCTGTCAGACGCTTTGTGGTTCTTTCAGTTGTCTGACATCTTTTCAAGGACTCGGGGGCAGGCTGTGGTGTCTCATTAGGTTTTCATCACCTGTTACTCTCCATTCCTGACGTGCCGTGCTTCCTTCTGGTGTCACATCTGTCTGGAGGACTCCATTCAGCAGTCCTCCCAGAGCGGGCCTCGAGCATCCTGTCCAGACGGAGTCATAGCTGCCTCCCATTGATTGGGCTGAGTCAGAGCTTGAGTGACAAGTGCTTTCTCCTCCTTACTGGGTCAGAAACACCGGTGTTTCCCGGCTAGTGTTCCCATTTCATAACTTTGTTTCTGTGAAGAATTGCAGAAGTGGCAGTGCCCTGACTACTATGAAGACAATGTCCACAAAATGCAGCTCCCATTTTCCAACAAGCTCCTCGGGAGCACTCTGACCTCTGAGGAGAAGCAGGAGAAGCGGCAGCAGCAACTGCGGCGGCTACAGGAGCTCAACGCCCGTCGGCGGGAGGAGAAGCTGCAGCTTGACCAGGAGCGACTGGACAGGCTGCTGTATGTGCAGGTGCGAGCCTACTGGGGTGGGCAAGGTGCTCCCGGGTGAACGAGGTGCTCTCGTCCCACTGTGAGTTGCATCGCCTGAGTCACACAGGGTCCAGCAGGCTGGTAGCATCAGTTTGGAGGACGTGCAGCAGTGTTTCTGAAAGGGCTGTGGACTCTGACTTTAATGCTTTAATTTTGCCTTAGAATGTCCTTTGTTTCATTTTTAACTTAAGCGTGGCGCACAGGATTCAGAGTGCACACAACTTAGAGTACAGTTGGGTTGATTTTCACAATCATGTTCTGCCATCCTGATTAGGAAGTAGAGCATACCAGCCCCCTCCAAGGCAGCTCCCTCATAGCTCCTCTGCGTAACTTTGCCACCTGAAAGGTAATGACGTTCTGATGTCTCTCACCAAAGATTCCTTTTCCCCTAGGGAGCTGGGCAGAGGGCAGCTGTGCGGGTCATCGGCAGGAAGTGTGATTTTGAGGAGGGGCCAGCTGGGGCGTTGTGGGAGCCCTCTCCTGCTGCAGGGGTTCTGAGGCGCTTCTTTCACCATCCTGTCGGTGATAGCCCTGGTAGCTGAGGACAGACTGACTGCTTTGCTTTCAGGAGCTTCTGGAGGATGGCCAGATGGACCAATTCCACAAAGCTCTGATGGAGCTGAACATGGACTCGCCAGAAGAGCTGCAGTCCTACATACAAAAGCTCAGCTCAGCAGTGGAGCAAGCGAAGCAGAAAATCCTTCAAGCAGAAGTCAGCCTCGAGGTGGATGTGGTAGACAGCAAGCCAGAGGTAACCGAGCTCTAGCAGGGAGGCCCTCAGGGGAGAGAACAGCCTTTCCCGAGGGCGAGAGATGTGTCTTGAGAAGACTGACGTCACAGTGGTTGTGACCACCCTCAGAGGAACTGGAGAGCAGTGTGATGAGTGATGGCCGCGGGACCCGGGAGGGGCCAGATGGCACTGCTCCTCAGGGAGGGGAAAGCGTGTGTGTGGGAAGGACAGTCACATACCAGTCAGTCATCTGGTGCGGCCTTGAGCCTGTGCCTGCGCCTCTGCTGGTTTCCTGGCAACAGTTCCGGGCCCCCATTGACTTTCTTCCAATGTCTCGTGAAGTACATTGTGACTGACCTTTCACTTCCTTCCTTCCCGTCTTGATGTTCCCTAGGACAGTGATTGTGTTTCATGCGAAGCTTATGACTTCATAGCCACTTGTAGACGTGCTCAATAGAATGTTAGCAAGTTGATTTAGGATCATCCTTATATTCATTACTAACAAGTAACTGTTAATAAGGTGGATGTGGCCAAAGGCCTGGCAGGAGCAGGGCTGAGATAGGGCCCTGAGTGACCCCCTCCCACTCTGGCCTGCACAGTTAAGGGGCTGCATAGGTCACCTCGATGTCACACCACAGTTGGCCCCCCTGCCTTCAAAGCTGGAAAAAGACATTAATATGTGTGAGTTTTACTGGACTCTGTGAGTTCTAGAGTTCTGAAAAAAATTTGTTCAGTCCTCTGGCAAATACTCAACCAAACCAGAATAGTTTATCGGGGGTTTTGTTTTTAAATCAATTTTCCTTCAACTCTATACAGCCAATGCTTTTAGGAAGAAATAGTCCTGTGGGAAGGTCTGTGTGGTGCTGAATGCCCTGGCTCCTCAGGGCTCTGCCTGTGCAGACTGTCCCGGCTGTGCAGACTGTCCCACCCTGTGCAGACTGTCCCGGCTGTGCAGACTGTCCC